TTTATTTGGTACAGCTTTTAACATAGTATATTGGCATAAGATGCAAAACTGCTTGATCCTTGTGTTGCCGCCCGCCCTGGCACACAGTTGGGCGCTTCTTGCTTGCACACCAGTTTGAACTCCGATGCGGGCTTGAGTATGAGTACGCTCTAGCGCCAGCCTCGTGCATTATTGCGCGCTCTAGCTCGCCTCTGCAGTACGTGTAACAAGTCCAATGAGGGAGGTGTAGACCGCCTCAAAATTGAGGGATGCAAGGTGTTGAGGCTCCGTGCCGCAAGCGGGCCAGCTTGTAAGCCCAGGTATCGAGCTGGCGAAGAGAAGGGCGTGAGCCCGATTGCGTACCGAAAGGGGCCGCCATGCCCCATGCGGGCAAGACCAAACGAGACCGGTAGAGGCAGGAACGGTGACATTTTCCATGCAAGGACGGCTGGGGACTTGTGACAAGAGCAAAACTGCCTGGGGAAGAGGCTGCAATGGCTTCAGACGGATGCCCGCAGCATCGAGAGGGTCAAGACTAGCCAAGGCACGGCAGGTTTTGCCCCTTTCAGCTCGGTGCTCAAGGCGCCCATGCTCTACATTCAGAACTTCACACAAATCAAAGCAGCATATCGACACCCTTTCACGGACGAGTTGCGAATGCCGGGTACTGCAAGAACAGCAGTACATTTCTGCTTGGTTATTCTGTTGCCTTTGCTGCGTTTTGTTTCTGCTGCTCCGGCGAGCATTGCTGTTGTCGCAACGATTGCGAGTGCCTGGCAGGACAATGAGCGCTTCGCTCGTCAAGGCGACCAAACGACTAACGCGGCTGCAGCCTGAGTTTCGTGGAAAGGCTTCCCTTGCGCTTGCGTGGTACGTCGTGCCGCGCGATGGTAAACCTGCATCATCTAACGGAGGGAGTGCTCGTCGGTGACGGGCATGACTGCAACTAGGAGACGTCTCGGATCATGCCATGGTGCCCAGTAAACCTAGCAAGATGCAACCCGTATCAGCCCATATGGCTTAGAGGCTTAGGGTTTAACTGATGAAACGAACAAGTTCAACTCTACACTGCACCATCCTCGCTCCACCACCTCTCATCCGCTGCAGCAATGATGCCTGTGCCAAGGGACATGCTAGCCACATTCGCGGCTGCTCCATTGGTCCATGGCCGCTCTTCTTGCTCATTAACCAAGCTTGAGCCCCACATATCAGGTCAGCAAGCCACAAATTGGTCACTCACACAGCCGGTCAACCACGTGCTGTGCCTTTCGTGGACGACACTTGGACTTTCAAACGAATAGCACTCGCCACGACCTAGTTGGCAAGACCTTCGAGAAGTGAATATGAGCAGCTGTCGTTGCCGGAAGTTGCCATCACCACAGCGGCGGGCTGGAGGGAGCAGTGGATGGTGGCAGTTGTCGTGGGTTGAAGGTACATGGTGCCAGCAGAGGCAGACTAGTAGGCCGGTCAAACGGCAATCGGTGCCCAAGTGTCGAACTAGGGATGTAGCACTATCAGGAGACACAATTATTGACCCTATTTCCCCTTCTGCTGAGGCGAGCGTCGCCCTTGGCTTCTTTAAGTTGCTAAAAGGACAACTTTAGAACGCAGAGGGTTCTTGCAGTCGCAACCACGTGGAGTCCAGATTTTGAAACACTCCTTTAGCGGGCGGTGTCAGAGTCAAGTCGCATGGTAAGCGCAGCGAATGCAATCCTCACCCAGCCAAGACCTCTCGAAGAAAAGGCAAACCCTTCGACTCTTTTGCGCTGCTGGAGGCGACAGAGATCAGGAGCGCAAGGCACCAAAAGCCCCTCACAGTAGGCCGCTGCTTGGCTCAGCGTTGGGGAGCCCTCGGGTACTGAGATTGCTTCGTCTAAACACGAGAGATCTCCAATCAGTACACACATGCCAACCCGACTGTCCCGTGTACGCCCCACCAAAGATCCCAGAAGACACCTTCAGATCATTTCATGGGTGAAACGCGAAGTTGGGGCTGGGCCGAGTCGGCTCTAGCCGCAATAGTCGCAGCCTGCAGGATCATTACTTTCGCCGTCTTAACATCCGTGAACCCTCCAGGCCCTTTCGTTCTCCTGATTCCAGAATGCTTGCACGATGTGTTTCTGAGATTACACGCTGCTGTTCTCCATGCTTCACGTTTCGTTCTCGCCATTCTCAACAAGTGCAGAAACACTGCCAATCTTTGGTCAGAACTGATTTGTCATGATCTGCCAGGATTCCACACTTACCTGCCGGTTTGGCCCTGAGAAAAGCTATCTCTGGTTGCAGAGCCTCAGGTGCAAAAACTTCACGCACAGAACTCGTCTTCCGAAGTGCGCAAATGCACATGCTGATGTATGCCCATGTGAATATAGACACAAGTCCGCACCTGAAGGGAGGGAGGGAAGAGAAAGAGAGAGCGAGAGAGAGAGAGAGAGAGAGAGAGAGAGGGGGAGCGGGAGAGAGAGAGCGAGAGAGAGAGAGAGAGAGGGGGGGAGAGCGAGGCTTCTTGGCAGCTAGCGCAGCATGTGGGGGGATGGTGGATCTAAAAAGGACTCATGCTGGGCCATCTGACCGGAAATCTGCCTAACCTGCCCAATTCTCCACCGGAGCACCTCCAGCACTTCGCATGACACACGGAGAGTGTCATCCTGGCACCACAGGGATCCAAATCGAGAGGCATCGGTGCTAGGCATCTGCTGGCAGAGCAGCTCCTCCTTGTTGATCTGGTCGGTGAAGAAGCAAAGACGAGTAGTGCCTGAAACTCAAGCAACTACTTCTTTGAGAAACCCCCGGACCAGGTTCTCGTTGCTGCTTCCATGCATTAGCTTACACAGCCTGCTTCCATCTGATGACACCGAAGAACCCTGAGGCTGACTATTCGTCCGTCGCCCTTCACCAATATTGATTGCAGACTGGAATACTCTAGGGGCCTTTGGTACTTTATGCGCCTATATTCAATGAGGGAATCCGTGGAGGAGGTCGTCAGCGAGGTCCTGACCGTAAGGGACGCGTCCATTAAACTTCTTCTCGAGGAGCTGTGACCTGAGCTTTGGGAAAACTTGGTTTTGCAGACGAGAACTGTGGGAAGAGCCTGCCAAGGAAGAGTACTAAGAAGAATAGATATAGGAAGGATCAAAATAACACTAATCATAACAACCATAATAATCACGGAAGAATAGTTATATGTGTCGGCGGTGAGGGGGGGCGCTAATCTGTTTGTTCCACTCGTTCCAGTCGTGCCACTCGCTCCACTCGCCCTGTACGTTACCTGCTCCACTCATTCCTTTCGTTTACGGCGCGAGTGGCACGAGTGGCGCGGACGACTTTAATCTTCCCCCGGGGCACGTGCAATGTAATAGTTAATAGTTATAACAATAATCATAATAACAATAATAATGGAACATAGTAGCTATAACCAGAATAACAATAATATTCATAACGGAATAATGAGGATAAGGACCCCGCTTGCTTCCAACCGCCAGCTTGTAGACCAGATTGCAGCCCTTGGTCGCCCAGAGGTACACGGCGCAGTCTCCAACCTGCACCGGGTGCATTGGAAGGAGGGAGCGGAGAATCCCTGTCTGGGTATATCATAGCACACTATGGTATGTTAAAGTTGTAGCACATTATGGTATGTTAAAGTATCTTATGGTATAGGTTTTGTCTAGTATATTATAGTATCCCGGCCTCCTGGCCCTCCAGAGGTGGGTCGACCACGCGGAAGATCTGCGAGGGCAGCCAGGGCCAGGGCAACCAGAAAATGGCTCCTGCTCAGGCCTGGAGCTCCAACTGCAAACCATGGCAGCCGCCGGCATCGAAGAGGGGAGAGAACCTACGGCCCGAACCAGCGTACGTCGCAACTTGCTGCCCAGGAAGACCGCAGAACGTGGGACAGCCCGAGGAACTGCTGTCTATAGGCGCATCAGTCGGTGCATACGCAAGCTGTTGAACGCGCTACACAGGCTTTCCGCCGGTTCCGAGGAAATCGAATCACATCATCCTGCAAACAAAACAGTATGGTCTGAAATCTGCAAGCGGGTTTCAACGGCCGAGCCCAGTCACCAGCTCACGTGCGGCTGGATCTTCACGTCGTCCTCAGACATCTTAGCCGAAACAGGCCTTCTGCGACTGTTTGTTGGCGGCAACTTCGCCAGCTTTGCAATCTCTAGCCGCTCTAGCCCATTGGTGCCCTTTCTTCATTCCCTGAGCTGGATCCTGCACAGCCGTAAAAATGGAAACTCCACCGCCGCCTCAGTGCTGCACTCTCTCCCAGCCCGGATTCGAAGTCGAATCCCTCAAAAAGCCCGGAACGCGCCGAAGTCCGTAGTGACAGCGTAAGGCCCTGGCCAGTAGAGGAGGCCGGAGTTTCTCCGAAGCTTTGCGGAGAACCCAAGTAACCTTCGTGGAGGACGCAGGGTTTAGGGCGAGTGCTGGCAATTACTGCAAGAGCCGAGATCGCTCTGTGCGCATTTGCGAGTCCGGCGACCAACCCGCACAGAAGGAAGCGCTTCAGGTAAAGCAGCAAGGGACATTGCTAACGAGATCCCTGCAAAAGTCTCAAGCGGAAACCCGACGTACGCGTAGACACAGAGACACAGACATGGTGAGACTGCGAGAGAGAGAGAGAGAGANNTACATACATACATACATACGTACACTACCTACATACATTACATATCATACCACCACATGCATTCACACAGTCATACAGCCTCAGTTTCATTCATTCATACATTCGTACATGTGTACAGTCGTACAGTCATAAAGTCACTCATGCGTTCAGACATGCATAATTACGCTCATAAGTTCCTGCATTCACACGTTCATACATTCATAGATCGTTCTTTCATACATACCTACCCACGACCACTGACCGACGTGCGCACGCACATGCAACACATACGTACACATCGTACATACGTACATACGCACACACACACACAGACACATTATTCCTCTGCTGGACAGAACTTCTTCAGGTCCCCTGCTCTGCGGGTGGCCGCATTTTGGACCTCGCAGAGCCCGGCCTCTTCGCAGAAGGGAACGGGTGATATTCGGTTGGGGTTACTTGAAGGGTACTATTTAAAGGGGGTACCATAAGGATTTGTGGCCTCAGGCTTCGCAGACTAGAAACTTAGCCGGGGCAGTGCCTGGGTTGCAATGCCTCCTTTGGCTCTTGTACACCCACATAAATGCATGACCATGTTCGGTGCAGAAGGCGTAGGTCTAAGGTGACGGATGCTGTCAGGGTGCTCCTGCACTTGCGCTCTGATGAGAGCCAAGTTCTAGCTCAATGGGGTGCAAGCTGATGAAGAGAGTGTGAAAAGTGCACATATTGCACAAGGTTCGTTTGCAAAGGGCTAGGTCAACTCCATGTGTGTCTCCTCTGCTTATAAGAGTTCGACCTCTTTGCGTCTGGGTTGACGGGCTCACGAAGGGCTTCAGCTCGCCTCCGAGACATTGAATTCGCACACATTTTTTAAGCATAACAGCCAACAGAGTAGTGTTTTAGCCCATTGCTATTCCAGAAAGGCTCAGAAACCTAAAAGCCCCAAGCGGGCCAAGGGAGTCTCGGCCTTGAGGCGAGTGCACGACTCGTCGAGGACCTGGCTTTCAAGCGCAGCTTTGGGGTGGAAGCTGCGGTGTCCTAAACCCTAAACCCTAAAACTCGAGGTTCGAGGAAGGCCTTAGGGAAGACCTAGAAGTAGTGCATTTTTTTGGGGCTTCAGGGCTCCTGGAATTTGTGCATGCTCGGAAATGCATGATTCCCGACGTGCCGTGGGCTGCGGGATTCGATACCTGAGCTTTTTGGATGGTTGGCTGTGATTCTGCCCCAAGAAGCGCAGAAGGCATTGCCGTTAGTTAGATGAAGTCCAGTGTTCCGTGTCCATACAACATGCTGCGGCATGTCTATGCCAAACCCCCTCTGGGTTCGGCATGGTTTCAAGCTGTTTCCTGCACTTTCCAGATCGACTCTCGAAGTTGCCTTGACCCATTTACGACCCAACACTTTCCATGCGAGGGAGAATCAACTGATGCAGGCCTTTGAGAGCGACTCAGCTGGACTTTGCAGCAGCGCGGGCATTAGCAACGAAGCGAAGCCTCCTTTGGGTGCTCAGGTTGTTGAACTTGTGGGCGCAATTGCTGGAAGCTCACAGGTCTGGTCAGGCAAGGGCTCTGCTTCGGGCCGCTCTGGGCGGACGGGCCCGGGCCGGACGGGGAGATAATGCCGCAGGAACAGCAGTGCAGCCAAGCTGAGCAGACCAGCAACCACGAAGAGCCCGTACCGCAGCAGAACCGCTCCCATCTCACTTTCGAGGGGCACCTCGGGATCGTCCTGTGGGCCTTGGCCGACGCAGTAATCCCAGCGCGGAGTGCTGGCAGAGGCACACGGCAGCTTGTCATCCACCTCGCACCACCCGTACCTGTGAGATCTAATTTCCTGGAACCCTCAAGTCCGAAGCCGTGGGAACCTCCGGGTACCTCGTACTTAAAGACTTAGCGAGGCGAGACGGGGCCTGGATGGTGCTGAATCTGAAGATCGCTTCTACTGTAGCCAGCCAAATCTACATGATCTCAATCCTCGCGTGCCTCTGTGCGCTGGATCCGTGGCAACCATTCCATCGAATGCAATGTCTCTGCAGGACATCGCTGCAGAACTTCCTCGAACTTGGAGTTATGGCCACTTTAAACTTAGGACTGGTTTAGGTCTAAGGATTACAGGCTACTGAAATACCTAGCCGTTAGTCTTCGACATTAGCATGTCGCAGTGAGCCGCTTTAACCGGAACTGGAGCCCCGGACCACGTCGAGCCTGAAGTATGCCAAACAGACCGCCGTCTACCCCAAAGGCTCACGTGATGTTGCTCTCAAGTGCAACTGACTACCAAACCTCCCCGCCTACTCCAAAACAGATTTCAGAAGCAGGCTCTACCCCTGAGATCCTTATTTACTATTCTTGTTATGTTTCTACTATTACTACTACTACTACTACTACTACTAATACTACTGTTCTGGAAATGATTACTCGTATGACTGTTGTTGCATTGCTGCTATTGTTACCATGTCCTTTACTATTACCATGGCTATGGCTATGGCTGTGGCTATGACTATGGAACTTGCTATTATTATTGCTACTGTTATAACTATAACTACTGCTATGACACTTTCATTACTCTTACTACTGCTACTGCCACGACGACTACTACTACTACTCCTCCTCCTGCTGCTGCTGCTGCTACTGCTGCTGCTGCTGCTACTACTACTACTACTAATAATAATAATAATCAGAACCAACCTCTGTTTAGGATCCTACGATCTACATCACACTCCCAGACTTTGAGCAAGAGACAACAGAGAGCCAGTTACCTGCGGGAGTCTGCAATGTTTTGGCGTATTTTATAGTATACTTAGACAGGGACTAGTAAAGCTTTAAACCCACAAAAACCCTACGTAACTCTTTAAATTATTATGCAAAAACTCCGAGCCAAAGAATCCACTGGCGTTTGCAACTGCAGTCCGTAGAGGTCCGGAATGCTCGGCAGCGAGAGCCCAGAATCTTCGATGAAGAAAGGACTCGGGCTTAGAGTTTAGGGCTTAGGGGGTGCTTAGGGCTCCTGTAGGGTTTCGGGTTTGTGGCTTTTGACTGGCTTTGCGATGCGGGTTGGAGCGGTGCCTGGGCACACTATGCTGTGTTTGTGAAGGCTCCTGGAGCCACGGCTGGAAGTTTGTGATACTCTTGGCCGATTTAGGCCTAGTGGCCTAGTACTTACGGGACTGCTGAAGCGAGCCTGGACCCGTTGAAGTCCAGGGCCCCCTGAACCCTGTAAGCCCTCAGGCTCATGATAGACATATTATGCTTAAACCCCTTCCCGCCCCACCCCACAAAAAACAACAACGTAAACGCACCAGACAATGAAGATCTCCCCACGAACCCAAAAAAAAAAGCAAAAAAAAGAGGCCCCAGGAGCCCTGCCCTCGCGGCCCTCGCGGCCCTCGCCTGCCAGCTGCCTTCTTGGCAGGCCGCGAAGGGAAGGCCGGTGAGGCCCGGGGCGCAGGCCAGTGCCACGATGTCGGCTTCCCCGGAGCCGGTGAGGTCCAGCGAATGCGAGCGGTTCACGGAGATGACATCAGCCCAGGAAGCCCCGTAGGTGTCATGCAAGATCTTGTTCAAATCAGGGCACTGTGCTTTGCAACTGCCTTCAATGCTGTACTGTCCGTCCTCCCGGCAGGTTGCGAAGACGGTGCCGCTCCAGCCAGGGGAGCAGTCGTACTTCACGCGCATGCCCTCCGACCAGCCGATTCCTGCAACAGAGTTGTTGTAGTCCGCGATGGCATTGGGCACTGCAGGGGGTGTCTTGCAGAAAGCCAAACATCTTCCATGCAGAACGAAATTCCCGTCGTCCTCACATCTCGCCGTGATGATGCCAACGAAAGGATCGATGCACTGATATCTTAGGGACATGCCGGCTTGCCATGTTCGGTTTTGCAGCTCGCTCGGCTCCAGCAAGGGCTTCGCACGTGCTACGGTTGGGGGATCAGGACAAAGGACCTCGGTGCACTCGCCCGTAAACGTCCAGTGACCCTCTTTGCCACACTTGGCACGGATCTTGCCCACAAAACCTCGGATACATTCGTAGGAGATCACCATGTCGCTTGTCCACTCACGGATGACCAGATCTGACTTGTGCAGCCTCGTACAACGTTTCAGAGGGTGGGGGGCGAAGCGGCACGGCATAGACAGGACTGTGCCTACCGGGCCCCTACTGAGCAAGAACTCTACACAACCACTCTCAGTACGAAACTCCTTTCCAAGTGCTCAAGCAATCAGGAGTTCAACCAGACAAAAGTTGGAAGATTCCGTGCTAAATTTGCTAAATCACTGGATAGGGAATTTGGCTACAGATGCTACAGTCTACAGCATGTCTCGAGGCAAACGGCGGGATCTTCCAGAACTGGAGTGGAAAGGGACACTACAGGGATCGAAAGTGCCCTTGATGGGCTTCGGAGGTAAGAGAAGCTCTCGATACCCGTTCATCATACTCGGAGGAACCCCCAAGAATCACAGACCAGCCCTCAACTTCTTCCTGGCGTTCGGTTGCTTTTGGGGTTGGACCGGCCTGGCATGCCCAACTTCTTCTCCCGGCTGTCCACAGCGGATCGGCTTGCAAAGCCCGGTGGGCTCGTATTTGCCTCGGGGCGAACAGCGCAGGGCGGGGGCGCCGTGGAAGCCCGGCTCGCAGTCCAGCGCGGCCTTGCCACAGAGAGGCAGCCAGGCACCGGCGACGCCCGGCAGCCGATGCTTCTCCACGGTGTCATTCCGGATCTGGAAGTGGAGCTGGGAGCCTGCGAGGAAGTGCGCGATGTCCCCTTCGGCATTGCATGTCGCGTAGTGGATCGGCGGCTGCGGGCCCTGAACTTCATGGGCCACGGGAAGCAGGAACACCACAAACCTATGGCTTGCGAAGCAGCCCAAGCTCCAGAACAGTACATAAAAGAGCAAGACCCACGTCTCAGGGCCACAGCTGCGAGTGGAGATAGTGAAATCAACGTTGAATTCCGTGAAACGGAATCGCGACGTTCGTTCTGCTATGGCTTCCTGCTCGCTCATGTCCTGCTGCTGCAGCTGCAACAGGTAGTTCAGCCAGGGTTTTCCATAGGGGTATGCGCAAGTGGCATGAAGGACAGCCAGAATTGGCATCTCTACCGTGCAGAGCAAGCAATGCAACTCGTAGATGCGTTTGTCATCTAGATTCAGGGGGCCGTAAGTCAGCACCAGCCATTGAAAGTATGTCACTGACACCACCCCTTTTACTCCCCAGAACTTCCAGAAAGGTCCGATCTTGCTCAGGTATTGATCGAAGCTGTGTTCGAAGGTGAACACGAATGCGAGGGCAAAGGAGCACAGAATAAAATTGACCGCGGCCGCCGCCAAGTGGATGTTTTGGTCGTAGAGTTCATTGCAGGATGTGCAGGTTTTAGAAGCCCAGAAGCACAACGTCGGGGCTCTCGACTGAAGGACCCCGATCATGACCAACCTCGTCGCCGTGATTATGATAATCATGAACACCCAAGTGCGCACCCCCTGCAGGCTCAGGTTTCGAAAAGGCACAGCGAATTCCTGATGCGCAGGGTCTCGTCGGGATTCCACATCAACGACCGTGACGAACAAGCCAAGCACTGACCACAGCGCCCAAGCCTCCCAAATCTCAGAGCTCTCCATGATGGTGGAGATGATGTGTAAGGAATGGCCGTCCAATTGTAGTGCGAGCTTTCTCACGCAGAGGTGCCCAAAGAAGCCGATATTCACCGGAAGCAGAAGCATGTCCAGCAGCCCATCCACCGTGATCTTGGTCACGACATCCTTGTTCCGCACAGATGAGAAGTGACAAACTTCCACAAAAACCACAGCATAGGTCAGCCATAAGGCTGAGTAGGAGAGCAACACTTCACTCGGCCAAACACCCTGAGAGGCCACAGAGATCACCTGGTACTCCCGGCTCAAGAAACCGAGCTGGATAGCCAAGTGGAACCAGTACCAGCGCACCGCGGCATGGGTAAAAAGGAACCTCCTCAGCTGCGCGCACTTCCCCAAAGCCGTCTCCTCGGCCCCCTCCTCCAAGGAGGCCGCCGCACGCCTCCTCTTGTAGACGCAGAGGCAGCAGAGGCAGTTCCAGATGCAAGCTGTGCAGCGCTGGCAGCAGTAAACGAAGGGCCGCGAGAAGTAGCGGAGGACCAGAGCGGCCGCACCCAGTCCGAACTGCAAGAGCACAGCATCGACGGAGCTCATGCGTGCAGCCTATGGCCTATGGTATTCGACAGAGTGGGTTCTGGATTTTTGCGCCGTATTGATTCTTAGATGTTGAATCGGCGTATATCGGCATTGCGCCTTTCTTCAAAGTAGCGGCTTGAGCTTTACGCTTCAATTTGAGTGACTTGTGTGAGCTGAGCTGTACGCTGCACATGTTGAGAGTTGCTGCTACTCCAACATTACTGCCTGCTGCTTTGCGCAGGCGGAACTCCTACCACAGCATGTGGCCACATGCCCGCCTTGTGGATTTCCAGTTTTGGGTAGTTGCGGGCTAGAGTTTGAGAACTTGCATGCCTGTCCACATGACATGACTCGGATTACCAGTCCCGAGTCCCCAAGAACTGGGTCCAATGCATAAGTCATATGCTCCCGTGCCATGCACAGCCCCCAGCCACGAAGCCCAAACTGGCAAAACCGAAAGGAAACTGAGGGAAAGGTGTTCCAAGCTAGGCGGCCGCGCCGTGAGCCGCTGATCAGCCGAAGTGATTGCCTTGCTGCAGGGTCGGAAATAAGCTCCACCCGGGAAGGATTCACGTCATCAATCGCACAATCAGTATCACCAAAACAGTAGCAGAGTTACCACTCTGATGATCACTGCTCTCGGCAGTCTCGCACGGCCATGATTACGATGACGATAACTGCACTTGGAAGTTGAGGGGAGGACTGCATACCTTGGCTATAGAGGTGTGAAGTCCTAGCAGTAAGGGTCAGCGTCATCGTCATCATCACTATCATCATCACCGCCCTCAGCACCATTCAAAGGAAGAAGTCTGATGAAGACCGACCTACGGATGCGTCTGAACCCAAAAGCCCCACGTCAGCAGCCTGTGTAATCTTGTGGTCCATCTCACCGGTCGTGACTCGGACTTCCTCCATTACCTTGGACTCCATGCTCATGAAGGATCAACTTCCAGACGTTTCGAAGTGATGAATGGCACAGCCGACAGCAGAAACATGCAGTAAATCCTTGCTAGCATCTGCCTGGTCTGGACATGTTGGTCCCAGAGCAAGGCGTGAGTTCGATCTTCTCACTGGATCCGGGTCCACGGAGCAGGCTGGGAGTCTCCAGGGGCTCTCAGTCTCAGGGCCCAGCAGAATCACCGACTTCCTGCACCAGCTCGCTTAGCCGGTCCAGCCTCATCCAAATGTCTGCCTCGGAGAGGGGAGGCGGTTGCGTGGGTCCTCACTTGTCAACCGCCATTTCTGACATCTGCTCGCGACTACCGCCTGACTCCATGAGCTCTGCTAAACTGCATCAACATCTAGGGTATCCTAGTCTCAGAACCCCACGTGAACAGCTTCCAAAGCCGACACAGGCGTCAGATTATGCCACCAGGGACCTAAGCTCTAACATGCTCTAATGCACGGGCCTTCATGGATAGAATAGGGATACCACAACTACAAAAGGAACTAGACGGGGTTCAAATTCTTCCGACCCCCTAAACTCGACCCTAAAAGCCATAAAAAAACACCCTACACCCCCTCTTTTTCGCCCCCTCCCAAGCCGTTAGCCTCGGCCACCTTTACTCGCTCCTCTTCCAGCGTCCGGGCCTGTCACAAAGTGAGTGTTGCAGGGGGTTCAGAAAGCAGAGGCTTTTGCGTTTAGGGGTTTGGGTGTAGTAAGGATTTAGAAAGTAGGGGGTTTGGGGTTTAAGGTTCAGAAAGAAGGGGGACCCGTAATATAAATCCCCGCAAAAAAGAGTCCAGAGGCTTATAACTTTGAAGGACACCAGATGAGGCAGAAGAGCTTCCCGAAAGCCCCTTGTGAGCCTGACAGTGTGCTTTTTGGTGGGTCTACGAGCCTTGTATTCCTCCATCGACGTTAGAACTCAAAAGTGTTTGGTTTGCTCACCGGTGCCTGCTACGTTCAAAGCTTTCAAGCCGGCCACCTGTGAGCGAACCGATCAGAAGAAGCGATGCTGGGACGTCAGATCCGGTTGGTGGTAGAGCCTGAAACTCTAAACCTAAAGCCCTGAAGCCCCAAAGCCCTAAAGGGTGGGTTTCAGCTCAGATGGGACTAAACGATCGTAGACTTCGGAAGGTGCCTCGAAAAATCTGTGACGTGTCTGGAAATCTTGGTATAAGCCGACACAGGTCGCAGTTCCACGAATTTTTCTTCTGCTCCCCATGCACAGATGTGAGCCCTACCAAAAGGTAGGCCGGGGGCCTTCTGCTCCCGCTGAAGTACGGCGTCCGTGTGCTCCCGGTAGGCCTTCACCGAAATTAAGAAGTACCGCCAGAAACACAACGACTCATAGGCTGTTCCTGTGTCGCAACGAAATGCTACGAGCTGAGAGTTGCATTGGAGCTAAGGCATTCACTACACGTATCAAACTGCAGCGGACCTTCAACCCAGATGCATTGTCCAGGCTTTGCCGCTGGCTCTCAGCGATGTTCGCCGAAAGCGAGGCACCTTGTCTTGCAAGCGCTTTCGAAAATGACGCGAGTCCAAGGCGTCCGCTGGCAATGAACACGTCGGACAGCAGCATCCCAGGATGAGGTCGGGGCTCAACTTCTGCATTTCTGCCTGCAAGCGCAGGAATGTCGTACAGCTGCTCCCTGAAATCCTGCAGGCCTGCGTCCAACTATACGGAAGCAAGAGCCCTGTCGCCCCAAGGCTTGAGCACAGAACAAAAACGACCAAGACCACGAGAATCCATCCCGGAGCTGTATCCCGTTGCCCGAGGCCTGCCCTTCACAGCTCAGGGATCTAACATAGGGTCCTCAACGATTCTGATACTTATGGTGTTGTGGTATGTATACTATACTTATATTGAGGAATTTCTAGGAAGAAAAATGGTAATTATTCAAGCTCCTATATGCAGTAGTTCAGGACGGACAATTTGTTTCAGCATCTACGCGATGGTTCTAACGCTGCTTCGCATTGCCTCCTGGAGGGCCTCATGGAGATTTAGATATGAGCCAGCCAGCTGAAGCATGCCGTCAACTATTGTCACCATACCAATCTTCTTGTCGGCCTTTATCGCGTCCGCTCCAAGCGTCGGCGACTGCTGTGGCCCGAAAAACGGGTTTCCGTAATGAAGCTTAAAGAGGCTCCTGTGGCAGCAACATGACACAATCCTGTTTGCAAATTTCGCGGAAGTACTCCAAACCCTAAGTCGGAAAACAAGCAGTGCAAACTCCCGTCGCTAGCCAACCGGCGCACCCGGATATCGCCCGCCGCACGCTCCATGGACTCCGCCATTTCGCTGCGGACCTCTGCAGTTCTTCCATTCTGGCTGATATACGGGCGTTCATGACCAAAACAAGGCTTGGGGGCACATAAACTGTAATTATAATCGGAACCTTCAGGAATAGTATTGGTAATTGCTCAGCCTTCTATGAGAACACGATCGGTCGTAGCGCGCGTACGGCCCGGGTGCCGGCAGTCGGGATAGCCGGATGCCGAGCTGCCGACCAATGACAGCTCCTGAGCAAAGCAATGGCAAAGCAGTTTGAAGTACAATTAACGTGGTTCGTGTTGGGGAACTACCGCCTTCCTGCAGTCGTGTAAGGTGGTGTTCGCTATGCGTGCGCAAGTGCGGGAGGTGAAGTTCTGCAGCAGTGGATGAACTCGTTCAGGATGATTTTCAGGGGTTTTCAATGGTTTTCAGCTTACAGTCCTTTTCGGCTTGGACGTCTCCGGCCTGATCCAAGCGCTCGCACAGCGCTGTAAGTTCGTCGGCGAGAAGCTTGCGGGTCTCCCCCTGCCCCGAGCAGGTCTGAGCAGGAAAAGGGAGGTCTTTGTTGGTCGATCCGGATGCTTTACTTTAGAATGTCGGCTGGAACTGACAACGTAAACTTTGGGGCTTCTGTCTTGGAAGACCAGTCCACTTACAAAAAGCAGGGGTCTCTCTACCTCTGCAGCTTCTGCACCTAGCAGACCTAGCATTCCACATGCGCGAATGGTCATCATGCTGGCACTGGCCATTTGATGGCGATGGCCCAGCAAAGTGCACTCATTCCGACAAGCTGCCAACTTGGAGCTCCGAAGGCCTTGCGCTGCACACGAAGACAATCTAAAGGCCCGCCTCCGATGTGGTCAAGTCCCGCGTCAGGGCCTGATGGACGGCACTTCTGGAATTGAAGGATGGAAGGTGCAGCCGACTGCGGCCGCAACCGTGGCAAGGCGCTGTCCAATCAAGGCAAGAGTTGATTCCTCCTACGACACTCCGACTTCGGAACCCCGAAAACCTCAAGCATCTCTCACCTCACCAGCCATAGGTGACATGAGTGACTGCCCACTGCCCCAGTCCTCGTCGGAGTGCTGCAGCTGTGCCAGGAGGTCCGCCACTTTGGCGCTGAGACGACTGTCCAGCTCGCCTACCATGTTGGTCGTCGTCGCCTGCATGTGCTTCAGAAGGATCCAAGGAATCCACCATGCGAATTGCATTCCGGACAGCTCCTCGTTGTAGCCGTACTACAGAAACCAGAGGCCCTTACAGGAAGCCCTTACCGTAACCCTTATAGCACCCCTCAAAAGAAGCCTAAGGTTGGACCGTATAATTTCTTGAAGCCCTATAACCATCCTGCCTGGGCATCGTCTCCCACTCGTTTCGTCGCAGTTATCGCCTGGGATCGCTGAGGACCGCAGTCGTACACTATGCAGCGTTCCGGGATGTCTAGGGTTTTGGGATTTAGGGATGTGGGGATGTAGGGATATTACTAGGGGTTTAGGGATCAGGGCTTCCAAGATGCTTTCTGCAAGTATCAGCACTGTTGCGAGTCACTGAGGAGTCCGCCACCTCCACATCCTGGGCCAGCTTCGTCTTCGCGATCTCGTGGGCAACACTGCTGAGGGTACTGGCACATCCCCGATTGTCTGAACAGCCGGAATGTCCGACGAGTCACGACGTTTAAGCCCAACCTAAATCTAGATCCAACCCACATTTTCACGTTTGAACTAGGCTGATCTATGCTATATACTATGTTACACTGTGCGCAGTTCTTGTGTTATACAATGACTTGCTCTGTTGTACTATGCTGTATTGTGTGTGCAATGTAGCTGTGATATATTGTGTCGTACCATGTCATATCATGCTGTCCTATGCTACATTGCGCTGCAATGCATTACATTATATGACACTTTATGCTGCTAGAGCAAATTGTACGATGCTGTACTCTACTAAACTATACGAAACTGAACTTCATCACATTCTACTTGCTGAGAGTATAAGTATGACCCATGAACCTATCTCATAAACCGAACCCAAAGCCTGGAGCTCAGCGATGCGGTCTTCGCATCCTGGCACCTCAGCACGGGTCAATGTGATAATTATGATCATGTGGATGATGAAGATGATGCAGATGGATGATGTCGAAGATGACCATGAGGAGGAAAACAACGAAGTAATGCTTGAAAACAAATGACTCATAATGCTAAACACCGAATAACATATCAAATATGACTGTTAGCAATAGCCAGCATAATGGCTTCGAGATCGCTTGTTATTGGCTTGGGAGCTCGCAGCAGGGCGGAGCTGGAGCTTCGCAGATCCGCTCGTGAAGCGTATTCAACTACGTAATTATAAACCAAAACAAAGCTCATGACATAAGTACGGACCGGATTGTTTCTTTGAGCCCATCCGTGTTTGAAAAGCTCAATTGCGCGAACTCCTAACCTCAAACCTAAGTGAACTACCGCAAGCCTTTATCAGACTCAACATCACGCCAACACCCGAATGATTCCAGCTTTTGGACAAGCTACATAATTGAAGGCCCTCAACCTGTCGATCATTCAAACTGGCGGCCTTGGTACGCAGCTCCTTCAACACGCCATCGATACGGCCCTGACAGTCTGACAGGCCAAAATTGCGTGGGAGACAGTGCATTCCGGCTCTGCACGAACTGCCGGCATTCTCCGAAAATCGCCCTGCCTGCAGTTGCGTTTTGAGCTCCTCAAACTCCTCGAGGGTGACAAGCACCGGCTTCTTCGGCATGGGGCAAAAATTTTGCCCCCAACCCAGGCTGCTATGCGATGTGATTCCAGGTGTCAACGCTAGATTAGGCAGGGTTTCGAGTCATAGTCGGAACTAGAAGACCATCACAGGGATCGGAAGGAGGCGAGTCTTGACATGCCTCAATGCATCGTTGTGTCCAGCAGTTACAGCAAGGAATCTGTTTGGACCAAGGCATGTTAATAATCGAAAGCAATTACTTCACTCTTTGCTGAAAGTCGTTGCATGTAAAGCTTGCGCTCGCTGTGGGCACTTTGACCCCGCAGCTCTGTCGCGGGACATCGCGGGGCCGAAACATATCGACTTTGCACCATGTTAGCGCAACGGCGGCACACCATCCTCGATGAGAGGTGCATCAGATCTCGGAATTTCTTTTGTGAATCGGCTTATGCTTTCTGCACCCCACCCCCTCCCTCAGAGCCCTAGTTCGCGCACAACAGTGCCAGAAAACCGACGCAGCTTACTGCCCTTTCTGCTCGACCTTCATCTTTTTGGCGCATGACAGAGGCAAGACGAGCCATGCCACGTCCGCTTGCATTAACTGGCGCGGCAGTGCCAGCGCAGCTTCAGCAGCTTCAGTTACCTGCTTTGTCCGAATCGGAACTGGAGTAGTTGTCGTTGCCGTCCTGGGACGGCAAATAGGATTGCGACAGCACGATCCAAACAAGTAACGAAGAGCCCAAGGCACATTTCAACCATGACAGCACTGAAGTTGAAGCCCTGAGCATCTGACACCCAAACGATTCACCAAGGTCACGGCCATCGGCTTTCCGTCCAAACCGAGCTGGCCACCTCAGCAACTCATGGCAGACATCAAGCGCGAAGTGAAGTAAAGCAACTTCTGCAGGTCAAAACCCTAAACCCCAAGGAACCCCTAAAGGCCCTACACAGCCTACGACGCTACGAGACCCCCAAACCCTTGAGCCCGCTCCTGTTAAGACCAAGCTGCTGTTCACAACGATGATCTCCTCACTTGGCGTGCCGCTCCTCCAGGCTCAAAATGATACTAGCATGAGTCCTAATATTTGGGGATTATAGGGCCAAGAAATGATAATGTTGGAACCTGATTAACAAACCCTGGCCCCTGTACTCCCGAATATTAGGACTCATAAGATAGAGAACCCTAATGAAGACCCAAGGTTTCTTAATCAGGTTCCTACATTAATGGAGCTACAAGAGTACGAACAACAACAACGACGACGACAACAACAACAACGACGACAACGACAACAGTGACGACGATGATAATTTTCTCTGGTGGCCATGATCATCATCATGCTCAGAGCCAAAACCCCCAAACTCCGACACCCTGCCGGCGGATGCAAGGACCCAACATGTGATGTAGAGCTCAATTTGAGGCGCTTCTTAGCATCACGCCTATTACTATGAGGGTTAGAGTTGTCGTTTTGCTTGTTTGGATTACTACTAGACTTCTTTGTACTACGATTACCATTATTACCATCAGAACTGCTATCGTTCCCTCCATTATTAGCACCATCATTATTATAGCTACGACTACGACTATTACTCTGAACCGTTCCTATGCCTGAAACCCTCCGGTCAGACCTCGAGCCACGCTTCTCCATCTCCAAGACGACGTCCATCCCCGACCTCAACTTCGTAGTCTCGTGTGCCCTTTGTGGGGGCCCATATGATAGAAGACGGTCGAAGCCTTTAAGGGGGACCCATTGGAGAACCCCGTGATTAGCGGCCTTTACAGGAACCCTTCAAGGAACTAGTTCAACGAAGCCTGAAAGGATCGCTGACTACAGCCCCTAAGTTGTGGCACGAGCGTTTGGGATAAATGCAGGAATAGGGTACCCCTAAAGCCTATACATGGCTGAAGCAGAACTTATAATGTAATATGCCGTACACCAAAGCCCCTGCTGCAATTGACGCAGAGTGCTTGAGGGTGCAAGCTCGGTGACTAAGGCTGCGGCAGAACTCGTCCAAACACCACGTGCTTGTCATCCAGCCACGGGGTGGCAGCCAGGGTGATGAAGAACTGCCAGAACGGTCTCATAGAGCCCTCTGAGGCCCCAGAGCAGAAAGCAGAAATCCACTACGACTCCCCGTCCCAGCATGTCCCAAAAAGTGCAAGGGTGCCCGAAGCCCCCAAAAACCTAAGAAACCTTAAGAAAGCCTAAGAAAACCCTGAAGAAACCCCCCGGAAGACCCCAGGAAGCCCCGGGCCTGGGAGCCGTTGGAGTTCCGGCCCCGGTTCGCCATGGACAGGAGACCCGGCCTAGGTAACAAGGTTAGCTATCATATTCAATATATTCATTATTCATAATAATAACAATAATAATAATAATAGTGAAAAGAGAAGTCATAATCAGAATCATCATCACCATTGTAGGATCATAGAAGCAGTAACAGTGTCAGTCACAATCACAATAACAATGGCAACAAGAAGTAGAATAATCTAGGTGCAAAGGGGCCTGAATGGACAGGGAAGGGGCTGTTGTCCGCGAGACTACAGGCTTCTGACCCAATATATGAAATTCATGTCGCAGACCCCCCCCCCAGCGATCCACGGAGAGATCCACGCTGGGTGTCGAGCTCTGTGTGGTGGATGCGGCCGTGCTCCCACTCGTCTCGGAAGGTCTTGCCATAGATGCTTTCGCCTCCTCGGCTCTCGCGGGCTCAGACTGACTTAGAAGCCGGCAAAGACGTTGCAGGGGGAGTGGGGCACGCAAGAGATGCACGTCTGAACAAGCAGAGTCCAGGAATCCAGTTCTCGCTAGTGAAGGCTGCGATGGTAACTGCATCAGTGCTTGAAATTGACCGTTTCGTTCGCGTGCAAGTGTCTGCAAAGGTCCTCTTCCATTGCCATGGGTGATGTCGCCACCCTGGCACATGAAACCTGGGATGATCCTGCCAGCACGGTCCAAGGGTCCAATAGACTACCTAGCAGCAGACTGCCACTCGGGCATACGAGGGAAATGCTACAAGGGCATGCCACAGCAGCTGCTCGAAACACTCGGCGAGAGAGCTCTGATGAACGCAAGGCTGATGACGCCTTCCACCCATTCTAAATTCTACCTACGGGGCGGCCCATTCGAAATTCTACCTATACCGGGCGGCCTAGACAGCTCTAGCAGCCTACTTACATACTCCTCCAGGCCGGGTAGAAATCAAGTCCGAAGGCCCCAGAGAAGGGATTTCAAAGAGCTCGAAGCCCTCTCCGATCTTTCGGTCGAAGACGGCTTGGCGTGCAACAGATACTTCTCCCGGCAGTTGTAAAGCTACCAAAACCTAATCCCGATAATCTACATTGCGATGCAGCTCACACCAGCCTGAAATCGAAACCCTCCAATGCGGGTCCTGTGGAAGGGTGAGCCCTTGAAGTGCCGTGTGGATCCGGCGAGACCAGGCCCTGCCGGGGTTGTCTTCTTAGCGAGGGCTCCTTATGGCAATGGGAGCTCATAGAGTGATGTAGGCTGTTTTGATGCTGTGAAGGACAGCGGACAAGGCTCTGTAGGGGCTTTCCGGGCAAGTGGTCGATCGAGAGTGTCTCTGCAGCTGATCGATCTGCTGGTTCTGGTCTCCTTGGGAGTCACTGATGCGGCTCCCAGTGCACAAGCAGGTCCCACACAGCAGCGGTTTCCGCGCAGTTGAAATCATGGTACCGGTTGAAATCCTAGCACCACCTGCTGTCGAAAGATTCCTCTCGCGTGGCGCGAGCATTATAAGTTCATAATATGTGGACCGCTTCTCACCTAAGCTTTAGATACCTCTCCTTCCAGGCTCCATCGGCAATCTGCAGCACGCACTGTTGAAATGGATTGCTTCGGCTTGGGCCTGATTCGCCGGTCGCCAGAGCACGGAAGTTTTCGACCGTCATCGGCGCCACCTCCTTGAAGAGTTCAAACCTTGTCATGGAACCCCGTACCACTTAAGTTCCCAAGATGTTCGAAGTTGGCAGTGGCATGCAGCTAGGGGCCACATGCTGGTTCCCCGCTCTTGAAACCTGACGCTCACCAGCGCCAAACGTCGGCAACTGTGCTAGGTGCCTGGACTGAGTGTCCACTTGGGGAGGGAGGACACGAAAGCTAGAAATTGAAGTCCAGCGACTCAAGCCGAGGAACCGGCAGGGTTGACAAACTTCAACACTTTAGGAAGGAATGTGTGCAGGACGGGCTCCTTCCAAGCCTATTTCCGCCTGAAATATTCGTGAACTTCGAAGAGACGAACTGCGCATTTGTTGTGCAGAGCTTCTTGCAGCCAGCTTTCATTATGCATCATGACTATTCTGAATTAAACAATGACTTTGAAAATTGGAAAACTAAGATCTTATTATTACTACGACTAGTATTCTTAGTAGTAGTAGTAGTAGTAGTAGTAGTAGTAGTGGTAGTAGTAGTAGTAGTGGTAGTAGTGGTGGTAGTATTGGTAGTATTGGTATTGTTCATCGCCTTACTCTTAATCTTACTCTTAGTCTTCTTATTGGTATTCTTCTTCTTATTGTTATGATTTCTGTTAAACATCATACCATGATTCCCTCCCTCCCTCGCTCCACCCCTCTCGCACTCCGTCCAAGCTCGCGGCTCAATTCTGCCCAATGCAGACCCACTGGCCTGGTTTCTCGCACTCTGAAAGCGTGGGCCCAGCGCAGTTCCCGGCTTGGGGTTTAGGGTTTAGGGTTTCAGGGCCCTGGCCTCCACATCCATGAATACATGCGGATTGCCAGCCGCGTGAGTGACGTGACTGACAGCGATGATGGGGCCAGGCGGAAGTGCCTTTGTCCTGGCAGAGAGCAAAACCTCAAGTAATATACTGTTATAACATACTCTAACATACTGGAGTTACTCTATCTAACATACCACGACAGACTAAAAAGAGTATGTTATTGTGTTGTAGTCTTAGTGACTAAAACTACAATACAATAACATACTCTATTCTATTACATGGTAGCATTATAACTCTTTAGTGTAGTGCATAATCACATGTTACCCCTCCCTGGCCCGGGTCCCGGTCAGCCACACCGCCAAGAAGCCCAGGAGCCCCACGGCAAGCAGGGCCCCCAAGGCAACCATACTCCCAAAGGACCCACCTCAGGAAAAAACAGGGTGCCGGGGAGGCCAAAAAAGAGGTGCTTGAAGGTCAGGACTTAGTAAGTAGGGTTACCAACTAGTTGGGGCTGTAATCAATTGTGACTGTAGCTGCCCTACTTATCCCCACTTTTAAGCCATACTTGCTAAATTTCCTGCTCCTTGAACTAGTCGCTCTTGGTGGCTCAAGTCAATGCTCCGCATCAGCTCACGCAAAAGAGATCTCGAGGGCACAAGAGTTAAATTGCAAAATGCCTGACAATAACTGAAACCTTGTCATTGTTATGCCCTTATAGAGGCCCTAGCCTAGAGAGCCCCTATTCCCGAAACCGTAAACTGCCGTAAACCCTGATTACGGTGTTGCAAGATGCGTTTGCAGATCGTAAGTCTCGGACTGCCTTCTGCGTTGACCTGCCCAGCTTGTGACTGAAACCTGCATCCCGTGTCCTTTACGACCACAAACAAGCACGGCGAAAGAGCGAGCCGCGAGACAGACGGAGCGAGAGAGAGAGGGAGAGACAGAGAGAGTGACATGTGTCCCATGTCGGAGCAGCAGAGAGGCGGACAAAGTTCAGCTGCTCCCGCCTCCAACAGCTCCAACTCAAACACCAGCACGGCACCAGGAGGAATGGGCCCAGCGCCTCTGCAAAGAGAAAGCTTTGCGGCGCGTTTGGAAGCTGCATGATACTGTTGTACCAGTGGGAGCTACTTGCATCTTACGATTCAGGTTTCAGGGTCGAGCCCTCAAGTGAACCCCCCTTTGCAGAGTGCCACACCCTGTCGACGACTGACTTGCTTCTCTCTTTCTATTGTCTCCAGTTTTGTGCTGCATCACAAGTACAGGCGCTGCAGGTACCGGCGGTCCTCGATCACCGTATGCCAGGTGGCTCGGTAAAATAATCTCCCACCTGAACAGCACAGAAACTCCGAAGCGAAGAATCTGGGCTTGGCCTGAACCCTAAACCCTGAACCCAAACATCAGCCTGGCCTAGTTCTAGTACCTTGGTACGCGAAGGCAGGAAGGAAAGGAACCGAACCGCGAACCGTGAACCGGAACCGTCGGAACCGGAACCTGTGAACCGAGTAGTGAAACCGGAACCGTCGAACCGAACCGAAATAGAAACCGAACCGAAAACGGTTCCAATTCCCCGGGGTTTGGGGTCAGGGTTCTCTTCGCGTCTCTGCCCTTCTTTGCTTTTCGCTGCTTTCTCTGCTCTTCTTTTCGCTCTTGCTGGTCCTTGCTCTTCACTGCTTTTCTCTGATGTTGTCTTCTCTTCCCTCCCCTTCTCTTTCCTCATCCTCTGACGTCCCATAATCACCTTAGGATTGCTCTTCTAAAGGCCTTGAAGGGCAAACCCCCCAAAATCGCCCTAACAC